TTGTCCTGCAATCCCGTCTTCCTGTGTATGACCCTGAGTGGCGGCCTACGCTGGTGTGTGGTTACCATATTTACTCACGGTTCTCCTGCTTGTCCGGCAGTGGTCAGTGGTTCTCATCTGGGATAGAGAAGAGGGAGCTCTGTGGTGTATCACCTCTCTGTTGGTAACGAGTCGTTGGACCTAAAACATTAGCTGGGACATTGTTCCTTTCCTCCTAAGAAGTTCCAACTCCCAAAGCTTATTTAGGCCGCTCTGAACATTCTTTTATTACCATTCGGAGTCTAGACCAGGGTTTTTCAACCTTTTTTGTCTCACAGCACATGTGAACCTATAGTTAAACTTCCACAGCACACTTAAATTATGTTGATAAAAAAACAAGTTTTAAAAAAGAGTATACTTACTGTACTTTGAACTTATTTTGAAAATAATTCAGTTAATGATATTTAAAAGTCTTCTTGGAACACCTAAGATCCTCTTGTGGCACATGGGTTGAAAATCATTGGTCCAGGCTATGCTCATCTCTTTCTTGTCTTTGGCAAGGAGGTGAAAGGCAAATATGATACTTTAAAGAGTTATTTGAATGATATGACTTCTTAACGACGACACTTTCTTCCAGCACCCATGTTTTTACTTACAGCAACCCATGTCCTTTATAGGGAAGATTATCTTTACCTCGTTTTTTTTTTTTTTTTCTTACTAAACTCATTACTGTTATTTTAGACTGAGACTGACTAAATTTCAAGGGTGAAAAATATCTAGATTTTTCATTTCAGGTCATCTAATAATCAGATATGTAAACTTAGATTTAGTAGAATTAATACTGTTTTAGAAGTTTATTTGACTTCTGTTAAACAGTGGTACAGTTTTTGCTTAGTATCTTAGCCTTAAACGTGTTTAATAAATAGCTGCATCTCTTTTATAGCCCCAGCTGTTGCAAATCCAATACTGTCCTTCTTAGACGTTAAACGGATTTTATTTCAAAAAATTACCGATAGAGGGGATGAGTTGAAGAAAGCCTTTCAGCTGCTTGATCCCGGTCAGAACCTGACGGTGTCAAAAAATGAACTGCGAAGAACCATCACGGGCTTCCTGATGCCCCTCACGAGAGAACAGTTCCAAGACGTGTTGGCTCAGGTACGCATGTTGTAAATACTTAGAATAATTCAATTTGAGGAAAGCTGAGGCAGACCAGAGGAGCATGGCACCTCTTCTGGCTTAGTCCTCACTGTTGCAAATGAGCAGGTGAAGTTTTCCTTGCTTTTCACAGTTTACTTAATTAAGACCAGTTGAATTGATCACGGTCAATGATTATCTGGTCCTGTTTTGCCCATCATGCTGTTGCAGCCAATTTGTTTTAGTTTTTTAAAGATTCCATGTAAATGTATTCCGTCAACTTGTATTTCAGAACTTAGCACGACAGCATTTGTTCTTCCTTTAGATGGCTACTGAGCATCTGCTACATGCCAGACCCAGCGCTGGACATGGTGGCTACCCTTGAGGAGCTCCTGGGCCAGAGAGATATTTACAGAGTGTTGGCAAGTGCTGGCACAGGGTCATTCCAGGAGAGCTTCTGAAAATGAGGGGTGGTCCTTCAGGAAGGCTTTCTGGAGGCAGGGCATTTAAATATAGCAGAACCACTGTAAGTTGACTGCCCAAGGGACTGTAACTGACTGGTCAATCTACAGAGGTGGTCCACATAAGGAACTATGTGTCTGGTCTGTGAAAATTAGGTCAATTGAAGGAGGTAGTCAGCTACAGAGGTTCTGTGGTTTTAACTGAGGAGTGGGTATTAGCCAGATGAAGTCAGAAGGAAAGGGCATCTCACAGGTAGAGGGCACAGCCTATGTGAGAGCTTAGGTGCCTGCCTCAGCCTGCCAAGCTTATTCAGGGACCAGGGCAGAGTCATTCATCATATTCACAGTGAAGGGGTATGGCTGTGGGGGGCAGCACTCAGGAAAGAACTTTGTAAAGCAGTTCAGCCTTTGTCCTGGAAGCTTATAGGGAGCCAGTGAAGGGTATGCAGTGAGAGTGATGCAGTTACCTGGGGAGGGATGTGAAGGGTGAGCGCTCTGGGCCACATAGTGGTATATCATACCAGGGGGATGAAGAGTAAAAGTCTGTGGTCTGTGCCCTGAAGGCCCTTCAAAAAGGAATACAGAATTCAGTAAGGAACAAAACAATCTCAAATAAGTCTGTGATGATCAATATGGTAATTATAAGAGTCGAAAAAAAGTTGGGCTGGAATATCATTAGTATTCCTTTCAAACTAATAACCAAATGTGTACACACAGTCACACACGCATGTGCACACATGCATACACACACAGACAAGTCTGTGTTTTTTACTCATTCATTAGTTCTTCACAGGAGTCTAGATTTATGCTATTTCATAGTATTTAAAAAGCCAGTTTTAGTATTTGTTATAGCCTCAACCAGCCCACAGTGCATATTTCCAACACAGGGGAATTATGTTGTATTGCATCTCAGTGAATTCTAGGCACTCCTAAATTCCACTCTTAACCTCAGGGTTGGACTCCTGTTTCTTTCACTATTTGTTTGTTTAACATGTATAGTTCTATTTGTTGTTGCTTCTCAAGCCTTCCACGTTGCTCTTTCAAAGTTTTCTCTTCCCTTTAATTTTGTCTTTCTTTGAATTTGGGAAGTTTTCAGTTACTATTTCCTCAAATATTTTTTCCATTCAATTTTCTCCATTCTTAGACATTTTTATATTGTCCCACTGGCCTCTGAGGCTTAGTTCATTTTAGAAAATCTTATGTTCTATTAGCATATTGGATAATATCCATTGATTTACTTTAAATTCACTGACTCTTATCATCTCCATCCTTCTATTAAGCCCATTCAAAAAATTTTTGTAATTTAGACATTGTATATTACAAGTCTAGAATTTTACCTTGGTTCCTTTTTACAATTTATACTTATCTGCATAGATTTCCTGTTTCTTCCTTCAGTTATGAGTATTTTTCTTTTAACTCATTGAACACAATTAAAAGAGCTGTGTTAAAGTCCTTGTCTAGTAATTCCAGCACGCTGGTCATCTCAGGGTCAGACGGTATGGATTGTCTTCTCCACTGAGAAGGGTCTTGTTTCCCTAGTTGTTCATATCTGAGTATGTTTGGATAATATCCCAGACAAACAGAAATATAATGTGAATAATACATGTAACATTTTCTAGTAGCTACCTTAAAAGTAAAAAAATGGGTGCAATTAATTGTAATATTTTTATTTAACCCAACATAGCCAAAATATTATCCCATTTCAACACATAATCACTATTAAAATTGTTAATAAGATATTTTACATTCTTTTCTGTGTACTAAATCTTCAAACCTGGTATGTACTTTGCATTTATAGCAGATTTCAGTTCAGGCACTAATTTTCCTTTAGAAATATCTGATTTATGTTTAGATTTTGTCAAGTCTGTAGTTGCAGTACTACATTCACATACTCAGCTATTCCAGACATAATTGAAGTTTTCCAATAGGTGAAATAATATTATTTTTAAAATTAAATTAACATTAAATAAAGCAAACAAGAATTCAGTTAATAAGTTGTATTAGCCACATAGCGCTCAGTAGCCCACATGAGGTTTTGGCTGTCAATTAGACAGTGCAGTGCTAAACCTCGTGAATGGTATGTTGTGGAGGCTGTGGATTCTGTTAGATTCCTCTGAAGAGTGTCAATGCTTTTGTTTTGACAAGTGTTAACTCACAAACTGTCTCACCTGCAGTGTGCAGCAGCTCATACATAATTGAGTTCTTTTGTCTTTCCCTGGGCCTCTTTGAGTCTGACCTGAACGTGCACATTCAGTGGCTTTAGTTCCTTTGGGTTTCGTCACCCAGTCCTGTAGATCAGAGAGACAGTGAGTTTTCTGCTGGGGCTCTGTGCTGAGCATGTGGCCTAGCCTCAGGCTAAAATCCATGAAGAACAGGAAGCTCCACCCATACCTGTCCCTTCTAGGTTTTGCCTTCTTCCCAAATGCACCTGCTTCTATTTACTCCCCACAGCCTGTAAGTAGTTCTTCTCTTGTATTTAGACCGGAGTTAATGATTGTTTTCTGCAGAAAGGCTGGTCTGTTTTGAGCTTTCTCTGTATAATTTCTCTGTTTTATGATTTTTAAAAGAAATCACAAAGTTGTAGAAAAGTTAGAAATGCAGTGAAAAGAACAATTTTTTTTCTAAACCATTTGAGAGTAAGTTGCTCCATTACCCCTAAATATTTGACTGTGTATTTCCTCTAAACAAGAACACTACCCTATAACCATGATCCATGCACCAATGTAAAGATGTTAACATTGACTAATTATTCCCATCTGAGCTCCAGAGCCACTTAGGTTTTGGCATTTGTCTCACAAATGTCTTACAGGATCCAGGTCAGAATTGCACATTGCATTGAGTGGTCACATTTCTTTAGATTCCTTCTTCATCTAGAATGGTTCATTAGTCTTCCTGTAGCGTCCATGGCCTTGACACTTTGAAGGTCACAGGCCTGTTACTTGTGATGTGTCCTTGGCAGTAGACCCAGGCTTGCGTCTTTGGCAGGAATGTCACTGCAGCGATGCTGTCTTCTTCTCGTTGCATTTGATTAGATGGCACGTGGTTTCAGCTTGTCTCACCACTGTTGCTAATGTGCACTCACTTGATTAAGGCAAGATCTGTCAGGCTTGTCCAAGGTATCTGCTTTGTAATTAATAAGTATTTTGTGAGAGAAACTTTGAAACTAGTAAATATTCTACTTATCAAACTTTTGATTTATTCATTTATCATTTATGTATTTATAGGGACTCAAGATCTACTAAAAGGGTTATGGGTCAGTTGCTTTCCTTGTTTATTTTAATGTTTAAATTATTCCAGATTTGACCAATAGGCACCCCTACAAGCTGGTTTCTATATCCTTCTCGAATGTCCCTATTGTCCTTTGAACACTGATCTCTGATAGAAGAGATTCCAAGCTTCTCTGTACTTCACTTGCTTTGGTCCTGGAATCATCCATTTTTGCAAAGAGCTTTGGTTCTTCTGAATGGAAGAAGATAATTGAGAAACCAGGAGCTGGGAACTCACCATCCCCAGGCCCTCTCAGCAGGCAGAGCTCTGGGGGGTACTTTTTCTTTTCATACACATGTATACATACATTTACATCTATATTTACTGTGTCCCAGTTTCTCTGTTCATACCAGTACTACCAATTCTGATTCAACACTTCAGGGTTCCTTCTGGTTTCTCCCTCGCTACAGTTGTAACTACCTTCTCATTGAGTGAGGAACTTGGTGCCTTATGTGACTATTTACGTATTTGCTCAACCTCCTTGTATGTGACCCACCTCATCTCCAGCCTCTGCTCTCCCCATGTGGTGCCCTCTCCCTGTGCATGGCCTCTGACCCCACATGATGATGCCACTCTTGTCCCACGTCCCCCCACCGCGGCTCCCCCAATGCTGCAGATCCCACTTTTTCCTGCCCCCATCTGGTGACTTTAGGACGGAATTGTTAGGGCAGAGAAGGAAGGAGAGAGGCAGGCAGAGCTTTTTCCGTCCCTTTAAAAAAATGTTTCCCCTTTATTCACTTCTAGAATAATGAATAAATAGTAAATATTGATTTTTCATATCACCTTTTACTGGTCTCTACATTTTTAATAATGGCTCAATTAAAATAGAATTTACATATCATGAAATTCACCTTTTTTGACATGCATAAATTAGTATTTTTCATATATTCACAGAGTTTTGCAATTATCACCACTGCCTAATTAGAGACCATTTTGATCTTTCCAAAAAGTAACCCTGCTCTCGGTAGCAGTCACTCTGCATTTCCCCTTCTGCTGGTACAGAGACCCACTCACCTCCTTTCTGACAGTATAGAGTTGTCACTCTAGGTTCTGGACATTTCATATAAAGTGAATCACACGAAACGTGATCTTTTGCGTCTGGCTTCTTTCATTTAGCTTGTTTGCAGGATTCACCCACGTTAGCATGAATCAGGGCTTGTGGAGTTGAAAAACCGTCCATTGTATGGATCGACTACATTTTGCTTACATTTTAATCAGTTAACGATCCTTTGAATTGTTTTCACTTCTTAGCTTTTGTGACTAATGCTGCTATGAACATTCATGTGCAGGGTTTTGGTGTGGACATGTGTTTCCAGTTCTCTGGGGTACATACCTGGGAGTGGAGTCGCTCTGTCACATGGCAATGTTCTCTTGCTGTTGAAGAACATTTGTCCTTGTCAACATTGCATCAGTTTCCTCCTAAGCTCAGTCTAACTGGTGACCAAATGGAGAGTTAAAATATTATTTCCTGCTGTGTGTCCTTATAGTCATGATCTAATGTTAATTTAAAATTTTGACAATCTTCCCATGCTAATCAGCTATGCAGGAAGAAGAAAAGTACAGAAAATATGAAATGCGTATCTGTTTTTAAAAGCTACATCTGTTTTTAAAAGAAATCACTGAGAACTGTAGAACTTCAAAGACTTTTTAGAAAACAGGGCTTAGTAGCCTGTCCCAGTGATCAGCTTTTCGGGAACCTTGAGCTGCTGTGATCTGTGTGTCCATCACGGACACTGGAGTGTGGTGTACTTACAGGAGGCCAAAGTCATCAGAAGTGAGCTCCTGTGATTCATGCATCCATCACAGATGCTGGAGTGTGGTGTACTTATAGGAGGTCAAGGTCATTGGGAATGAAGCTCCTGTGATCTGTGTGTCCATCACGGACGCTGGAGTGTGGTATACTTACAGGAGGCCGAGGTCACTGGGAATGAAGCTCCTGT